CTGAAATCTTGCATTCTTTCTTCTGCCTTTTGATGAGTGAATGGACTGTCACTCTGTGTGGCATAGTGCCTAAGGCATTTGACTGCTAACCGGAAGCTAGCGATTCAAACCCACCAACTGCTCCTCGGAAGGATGATGGGGCAATCTACTTCCGTAGTGATACCGCCTGGGAAACCCAAGGAAGGGTCACTATGAGTCGGACTGAACTCAATAGCAGTGAAGGTGTGCGAGGGGGTGCTGAGTCAAAAGTGACTTGAAAGCAACAACAAACCTTTTGAAGAACTTCTTCTATCCTGTCTTCCATTAACACTACAGTTTATCCTTTCACACTGAAGTCTTTAATCCATTGAGCCTGTCCTATTTATGTTGCTAAGTTTATTTTTTCTCCATAGTGAGCCACCTTTCCTAACACCAAATGCTCCTTTCTCCAGTGACTTATGGCACAATCTTTATCTTAAGTTTCTAAATACACAGAGGACACCTCTGCTCTCTAATTTGCTGCATTGGCCTATTTGTCTATTCTTACGTTTATACCATAGATTTAATTACCAGACTTAAAATACTGTATTAACTTCTGATAGGGCAAGCCTCCCCAAAACAGACTTTTAAGACTGACTCAACTATCTACAAACTTCATGTTGCCATGTAAAATTTAGATTTAGGTTATCAAACAAACCAACTGAAATTCTAACTGCATTTAAATTGAAATTATAGATTACAATGGAAACAAATGTTATCCTTATAAGAAGTAACCCTGTCTAAGAACATAGAGAGCTTCTTCCATGTACTTAGAGCCTCTTCCTGTTCCTTGTAAGTTTGCAGAGTTTTTGTCCTACAGCTCTTGTACATTCTTGGGTTACTCCCAGATACTTTAGTTTTGTTGCTGTTATTATACACAACACTTTCTTTTGATTATCTTTACTAGTTGAGTATTGCTAGCGCAGTAAATGCTATTAAGTTTTATAGGCTGTTCTTAAATCCAGCAACCCTGCTCAACTTAGTTCTAACAGCTTCTCTCCTGATTCTCACAGTTTTTCTCAGTAGGTGATCAAATTATCTGCAAATAATGAGTTTTCTTTTTTCCCTTCAATCCTTTTATCTCTTACTGTTCCCCTTTATAAACCAGAACCTTTTTTAAAAAACCAAAAACCAAATCTGTTGCTGTCAAGTCAACTGTGTCTCATAAAGCAGTTATGCCCAGTTGTAGGACAGACTGGAACTGCCCCTCAGGGTCTCCAAGGCTGTAACCTTCACAGAAGTAGACTGCCACATCTTTCTCCCATGGAGAGACTGGTGGGTTCAAACCATCGACCTTTTGGTCAGCAGCCAAGCACTTTAACAAACGTACCACCAGGTCTTGGGAATTTTTTTACCATGTTGAGTAGCAGGAGTGATGGGGACAACCTTATCGTGTTCCGAATCTTAACGTGACTGTATCTACAATTTTTCCAGAAGTAGCACTACTTGCTGTAGGTTTTTGGTAATTACCTTTATGGCGCTATCATGCACACCTAGCTTAAGAGTTTTTATCATAAACAGGTGCTGGAAATTATCTAATGTTTTATGACCAAATAAAGTATTTCTCCTTTAATTATTAATGAGATAAATTACATTAAAAGATTAATAGGTGTTGAACCATGCTTACATCCCCAGGACAAGCTGTATGCATCATAATTCTTTTCACACGTTGCTGAAGCTTATGAGCTAATATTTTGTGAAGACTTCCGTATTTATGCTAGTAAGTGAAACAGACCTATCATTTTGTTCTTACATTGTCTTTACCCAGTTTTAGAACCAGTATTTCACTAACCTCATAAAAATGAGCTTAGTATTTCTTTTTTTCCATTGTCCAGAACAACTGGTAAAAGCGAATTAAGTTTGACAAGACTCCCTTAAAAGACTACCCGGGTCTAAACTTTTTGAAAGAGGTTTTCTTTAACTACGGCACACCTCATTTCAGAATCTTCACTTTACTGCGCGCTTCTGTTACTGCGTTTTTTTGTTTTGTTTTGTTTTAGCAATTGAAGGTTGGTGGCAACCCTGCAAATACTAAGGCTACTGGCGCTATTTCTCCAACAGCAGGTGCTCACTTCATGTCTGTCGCACTCTAGTAATTCTCATAATACTTCAAAGTGTTTCATAATGGCATTACACCCTGAATACTCTATAACATAGTATAGACATAACTTTTATATGCACTGGGAAACCTAAAAACTCGTGACTCACTTCACTGCCATACTCGCTTTACTGCAGGGGCCTGGAACCAAGCTGCAGTCTCTGAGGTATGCCGGCACTACAGGGAACCCCTAGTTTTCAAAGTTCCCTCTACACCACTTTGCTTTTCAGAAAGACCTGCTTTTCCCGACCAAAAGAAATCTGAAAAGGATTCTCCCTTTTATGAAAAAAGGTGAAAAGTGAAAGCAGGGTTCAGCGTTTGTGAGCCGTTCGCACACCCTGAGCGACGGTGCTGCCAGGCCCCTGCTCCAGGAACTACACCCAGGATCTCAGCACCAGGCCCTCACGGTTTCGAACCGTGTCTGTAAACACTGTACGTTAATGTTATTTCAGGTTTTGGTATAATGTGGTAAGATATTTTGGGGGTCTGGGAATGCTCAAAATTTTTTCCCATATAAATGAATGATAATTGTTTGACCTTAAGCCATTTCACTCTACACAAGGTTTCAGTGCATGCTGGGGGAAACCCTTACAGGCATACCTGGGAGCTATTGCAGGTTCAGCCCCAGACCACTAAAATAAAGCCAAGGTCCCAGGGCACGTAAAAGTTACATTAACGCTCCACTGTAGTATAAGTAAAACATGTATTATTGTGAGAATGACCAAAATGTGACACTTAGCTATGAAGTGAGTACATGCCTTTGGAAAAATGGCGTCACGAGACTTGTTCAATGCTGGGTTGCCACAAACCTTAAATTTGTGAAAAACTGTTATCTGTCAAGCACCATAAAATGAAGTATGCCTGTATTCCAGTTTATTAGATATTAGTCAGTTCAAGCCATCTGGTTTTTCCTATACTAATTTTCACACTTCATTATTTCCCTAAGAATTTACACCTTTCATCTTGGCTTTCAAATTTATTACCTACAGTGGTGCATAATACCCTATTTTTAAAAAATCTCACGTTTGAGAACAATCATGGGAGAACAGAAGGGCTGTTTATGCATACAGACAGCTGGGGGGGGCACGAGTGCATGGAGGGAAGGACACAGGGAAGAGATAACTATGGGGAGGAAGGGGGAGGGGAGCTGTTACATTGGGGTAAATTGTAGTCAATGTCATGAGACAAAGTGGTACGTGAGCTGCTGTACAGAAAGTGAATTTGCTCTGTAAATTTTCACCCAATTCACAATTTTTAAAAAATAAATAAAAACCTGTTTGCAATTCTTTCCTGTTATTTGCTCTTTACTTTATTTGCATCTTTTCCTCACCAATTTTTTCAGAGTTCTGGCTAGCTTGGTAGCCTTTTCAAAGAACAATCTTTTGACTTGACAAATCTTTTTGTTCTTGATTTCACTGATTTCTTTTTTTAATTCTTCAAATGCAGTTTGTTTAAGCCCTAAGACCTTTAGGTTTAGTCACCCTGCCACTCTGTACAAGGTCTGGCTACACAACATAGACTTTTAACTCACCAACTGTACAATATGTTATTCTCATGCCTGCATGATAGGAGGAATGTTACATACTAATGTAATTTAACCAACCATACCATACCTGGGAACTCTGGTGGTGTAGTACCTAAGGCATTTGACTGCTAACTAGAATGCTGGAGGTTCAAACTCACCAGCCACTCCTCAGAAGGAAGGTTGGGCAGTCTACTTCCGGAGTGATACGGAACCTGTTCCGTAGTTCTGGAACCCAAGGACGAGTGCTACGAGTAGGATCCAACTCGAAGGCAGTGAGTTTCATTTGGTTTTGAAGGCTATGACTATATATCTGAATAAAGCTATATTTTCTGTACAGTTTATTGGGCAATTACTGGTGCAGCCTGATAAAATTAGTAACTAGAAATCTCCAGGTGCTTTACCAGATGCCATTCAAAACAAACTTGTAGTTAATAATAAACCAAAAAAAAAAACCAAACTCCCTACCGACTCATAGCGACCCCTCTTTGGGTTTCCGAGGCGGTATCACTACGGAAGTAGATTGCCCAATCTTCCTTCTGAGGAGTGGCTGGTGGGTTTGAACCGCCAGCCTTCTGGTTAGCAGTCAAATGCCTTAGACACTATGCTACTAGAACTCCTGCAGTTAATAATGTTGTTGTTGTTACGTCCAGTCAGTGGGACCTGACCCATAGAGACCCCTCCTTGGGTTTCCGAGGCAGCATCACTACGGACAATTGCCCAATATTCCTTCCAAGGAGTGGCTGGTGGGTTTGAACCCCAGCCTTCTGGTTAGCAGTCAAGTGCCTTAGGCACTACACTACCAGTGCTCCTTGCAGTAAATAATAGGAGGGGAAAAAACCTCGCTGTGACTGTCACACTGTTTCACAAAAAAATAAAATACAATACAATAAAGTCACTCAAAGCAAAAGCACATTTCTTCTTCTAGCTATAGAAGTGTACATCCTCGATGGGGGCAGTTTCGGAATACAAAACAGTTTGCCTACAACTGCGCAGGCAGGCAGATCATTAACAGAACACAGTTCCACTGTTCAAAAGCATCTTGGCTTGGACACGTGCTGAATGGCTTACTTGTACGAGTGACGGTTTTGAAAAGTGATTTTAAACATTTAAAACGGATGTCGCAGCTCCCCTGCCATGGTGGCACTCAAGAAGCAACCTCTGTAGGTCCCCACTGGGATGCAAACGATGGGGTCGATACAGACCAACTTCCTAACTGCTGACTTGTTTAACGCAGACTGCCTACCAGCACAAGGAGGACACGAGTTGCCGGATTTCTTTGCACTCTCCGGCTGCTGGAAAAACAAATGAAGTTGAAGGCCTCTCCCTAACGAAACTCGGGCTGCCTTACTTCCCCCTCACCTTCGAGGGTGAAACTTTAAAGGCGGAAGGCGGAGGAAAGAGCTTGCTACGGTGGAGAGATGGCCAGCTGTGATAAGGCTCGCGATGGCAGGACTCGGGGCTGTGGACGCACGGGGCTGCTCCTGCGGCCCAGGTAATAAAAGAAGTCAGAGCCGCCCAGACAGGCACCGCACGGGGGAGGGGGCGGGGAGGGAGGGGACGGAGAGGGAGGGGGAGGGGCGCGGGCGGGGGAGACCCGGGCCTGAAACAAAGGCACCGGGCTGCTCCGGGAGGGGTGGACTCGGCCACCGAGCGGGGGGGAGGGGAGCGAACACAGCTACGGAAAGGCTGGACTCACAGAACTTGGAGGTGGAGGTGTTGATGTTGATGGTGGAGCTGGGGGTGGGGGCGGGGGCCGCCTTGGCCACGGCGGCGGCCGCGTCGCAGCTCTTCAACATCATGATCACCCCATTGGACTCCGGCGGCGGCGGCGGGCCCATCGACAGACCATCCTTGGGGTCTTTCCTGTCCACGGACACCGAGGGCACCGCCAGCAGCTGCCCTCCAGGGGGCTCTCGGGCAGGGGCTGGGATCGACGGCGGAGGTGGCGGAGGCGGCGGGGGCGGCCGGAAGCTGTCCACGGCGGCCTCCCAGTTGTTGTGGTTTTGGTCGTCCATCATCGCCTCGTAGCTACCCCCCTCCTCCTCTTCCATGCTCTCTTCCATCCTGCTGGCCCCCAGCACCCGCCCGCTTCGCAGACACCTGCAGCCTGTCTCAGCCCCGGGCCAGGGGGCACTGCAGCCTCCTCGCGCTCACATCGCGGGGGATCAGGACGGGCGCGGCTGGGAGGGCAGCGGCGCGCCGATCTCTCACCAGCAACCACCAGGCCGACTCTCAGACACAGGGCTGACGGCGGTGGGCGCTCCCGGGCTCGCGTCCGGGAGAGGCAGCCGTAAAGCGGCGGCGCCCTTCACGACATTTTACAACAACTTCCAACAGGCAGTTGCAAGGGCCGCTGGGGGAACGGCCAGGAGGGCACGTGGTGCGCGGAACAACCCAGGAGAAAGCAAAGGTAAAAGGGCAAGATCTGTGAGTCACCAGCACGCCATAGGGCAGAGGTTCGCCCCGCCTCGAATAGCACTGAGAGGGACGAGGAGATCGGTCTCAACGAGTATTCGGAGGCCCCGCCCCAACTGGCCTCACGTGATAAAGAGCTGCGTACACGCGTTCCGGATCTGGTTACCAAGACGACCGGGAGTCCCGCCCGCCCTCGACGAGGTGCGTAAGACCCGGCGGTTTCGGCTGTCATTGTGTCGCACAGACCAGCTCTTCAGGGGTGTTTTCATTACGCCCTCCCTCTTTACGGGCCTGGGAACCCCAGAGGACCATGCAAATTCGGCCTTTGCGTGAGGACGGACATAGGTAGTAACCGGAGGCCTCGAGTTGTAGATTATAAACGAGTGGAACTCTTTCCACCTGCTCACAGACGCCATCCTCAGCCCTCATGGTCCCAGCACTCAAAGCCAAGGATAAAAACCGAAACTGCTTAGCAGAGTGGTGAAAAATTAAATGCATGTGAGATAGTAACAATTTTTTTTTAATTCCTTAACTTCTTTCCATACTCATAGACCAAAGACCCAACTTTTTCCAAAAAAAAAGTCGAGCTTCCTGCCCTGTTTTCACAGATGGACTGCGAATGGGAGATTATGTATCAGAGTCTAAAGGGCCAAAGAAGAAATGTTGCTGCTGTTAGGTGCTCGCCAGTCGGTTCTGACTCCTACTGACCCTATGTCCAACAGAACCACATGGTGTCCAATCTTGGGCCATCCTCACAATGGTTAGTTTCAAGCCACTGTTGAAGCCACCATATCAATCCATCTCATTGAGGGTGTCCGTCTTTTTCAGTGACTTATCCTTTTCAGAGCATGACTTCCTGCTCCAGGGAATAATCTCTCCTGATGCTGTTGTTGTTAGGTGCCGTTGAGTTGTCTCCAACTCATAGCGACCCTATGCACAGCAGAAAGAAACACTGCCCGGTCCTGTGCCAGCTCCATGATGCCTGCTATACCTGAGCCCATTATTGCAGCCACTGTGCCAGTCCATCTCGTTGAGGGCCTTCCTTTGCCAATCATGACATCCTTCTCCAGGGAATGGTCTTTTCTTACATGATCAAAGTAGGTGAGACAAAGTCTGGCCATTTTCGCCTCCAAGGAGCATTCTGGCTGCACTTCTTCCAGGACAGATTTGTTAGTTCTTTTGGCAGTCTGTGGTACTTTCAGTATTCCCAACACCACAACTCAAAAGCATCAACTCTTCTTCGGTCTTCTTTATTCATTGTCCAGCTCTCACATGCATATGTGGCGATTGAAAACACCATGGCTTGGGTTAGGCACATCTTAGTCTTCAAAGAAACATTTTTGATCTTCAGCACTTTAAAGAGGTCTTTAACAGCAAATTTGCCCAGTGCAATATGTCTGATGTCTTGACTGCTGCTTCCATTGGTGTTGATTGTGGAACCAAGTAATATGAAGTCTTTGACAACTTCAGTCTTTTCTCCATGTAACATGATACTGCTTATTGGTGCAGTTGTGAGGATTTTCATTTTATGTTGAGGTATAATCCATACTGCAGACTGTAGTCTTTAATCTTCCTAAGTAAGTGCTTCAAGTCGTCTTCACTTTCAGCAAGCAAGGTTGTGTTGTCTGCATAGTGCAGGTTGTTAATAAGTCTTCCTCCAATCCTGATACATGCTGTGTTCTTCTTCATATAATCCAGCTTCCTGGATTATTTGCTCAGCATGCAGATTGAATAAGTATGATGAAAGGATATGACCCTGATGTACTCCTTTCCTGATTTTAAACCATGCAGTATCCCCTTGTTCAGTTCGAACGACAGCCTCCTGGTCTATGTACAGGTTCCTCATGAGCACAATTAAGTGTTCTGGAATTCCCATTCTTCTCAATGTTATCCATAATTTGTTATGATCCACACAATCAAATGTTTTGCATGTATTTATTTGATCCATGTATTTGTTTTTCTTCTTCCTGTTACTGATTTCTAGTATTATATTGATGTGATCAAAGAAGATGCTTTGTAGTGTTTTATAATTTATTGGGGCTTGTGGCTTAAATGTGGTCTATTCTAGAAAATGATCCATGCATATTGGAGAACAATGTGTGTTTTGTTGCTTTTCATCTCTCTAAGCTTCCTGCCGGGAGTTCTGGTGGAGTAATGCCTAAGGCATTTGACTGCTAACCAGAAGACTGGTGGTTCAAACCCACCAGCCACTCCTCGGAAGGAAAACTGGGCAATCTACTCCCGTAGTGACACTGTCTCGGAAACCCAAGGAGGCGTCGCTATGAGTCAGGTCCGACTCAACGGCAGTGCACTGTGTAAGCTTCCTACCTGGGGTCTCTCTCCTGCTTACATGTTATCTCTCCTGATAACATGTTCAAAGTCATGAGACATGTTTCATTCTGTTGTACATTTGGTCCCTATGAGTTGGAGACAACTCAATGGCACCTAGCAAGAACAACAGAATAGACTGGGGGAAAAAAAAAAAACTTGGCAATGATATATCTGGCATGGATCTAGCCCTAAATTTTATAGAAAACTCCAACATCTCAACAACAAAAAGACAAACATTACTATTGAGAACTGGACAAGGAATATGAACAAACACTTTACCAAAGAAGACATTCCAGCAACCAACAAATACATGAAGAGATACTGTGATCATTAGCCATGAGAGAGATGCAAATCAAAATTACAGTGAGATACTATGTTACACTGGCAATAATGACACTGATCGAAAAGAACCCAGAAAATCATAAATGATGGTGAGGTTGTGGAGAGATTGAAACTCTCATACACTGCTGATGGGACTGCAAAATGGTACAACCACTATGGACATGGTATAGTGTTTCCTCAAAAAGCTAGAAATTGAAATACAATATGATCCAACAATCTCCTAGGTATTTATTTTAGAGAAATCAGAGCCATGACTCAAGTAGACATATGCACACCTATGTTCACTGTGGCATTGTTCACAATAGCAAAAAGATAGAAACCACCTAAATGTCCATCAACAGATGAATAGGTAGACAAACTGTAGTGCATACATTCAACAGAATACTACACAACATTAAAGAATAACAGTGAATTGGTGAAACATCTCACAACACAGATGAACCTGAAGGACATAATTCTGAATAAGTCAATCACAAAAAGACAAATATTATATGATTCCACTATTATAAAAGAAGGCTGGTGGTTCAAACCCACCAGCCACTCCTCAGAAGGAAGATGGGGCAATCTACTTCCGTAGCGATACTGCCTCAGAAACCCAAGGAGGGGTCGCTATGAGTCAGGTCCAACTTGGCGGCACATAACAACAACACTATTATAAAAAGTCAAGAGAAGTTGTACACACAGAAGGAAACATCCTTTGATGGTTACCAGGGATGGGAGACGGTGGGAAGGGAAATCACTAACTAGATAGTAGATGCATGCTAACTTTGGTGAAAGGAAAGACAATACACAACATAAAGGATGTCAGCAAAACATAACCAAGGCAAAAGAAAGCCAAAACAAATCCCTGCCATCAAGTTAGTTCCGACTTACAGTGATCCTATAGAAAAGTAGAACTGCTCCCTCAGGGTTCCCAAGGTTGTCAATCTTTATGGAAGTGGACACTGCAACTTTCTCCCATAGAGTGGCGAGTGGGTTTGAAATGCCAACCTATTGGTTAGCAGTCGAATGCTTTAACCACTGTGCCACCAGAGCTCATTTAATGCAAAAGAAGACATTGAAAAATACTCGAGTAAAAGGCAACAAGGATAAATACCATTACATATACAATCTTGCAACATAGGTAGTTATATAAGCTGAACAGGGTGAGAGGGCATATGGCAGTATACCTACTCACTTATCAAGGGCTGGAGCAGATATGCCTATGCATATATTTGTACATGCTGCAAATATACCCATGTATATTATAATTAAAAAAAAAAAACAAAACTCACTGCCGTGGAGTCAGTCCCAACTCGTACCAACTCCTCCTTGGGTTTCCAAGGCAGTATCTCTAGGGAAGTAGATTGTCCGATCTTCCTTCTGAGGAGTGGCTGGTGGGTTTGAACCACCAGCCTCCTGGTTAGCAGTCAGATGCCTTAGGCACCATGCCACCAGAGCACACGTGAAAACCTCTTACCAATAAGCAAACCCCCAAACCCCTCCTGGGACTGACATACTGGGCTTGAAGGCTAGGGACCATAGTCTTAGGAGACATCTAAGTCAATTGACATAACATAGTCCATAAAGACTACATTCTGTGTCCTACTTTGGTGAGTAGCAACTGGGTTCTTAAAAGCTTGCAAGCAGCCATCTAAGTTTCAACTATTGATCTCTTTCCATCTGTAGCAAAGAAGAGGGAAAGAAACCAAAGACTCAAGGAAACAATTAGTCCAAAGGACTAATGGATCACCTGAACCACAGCCTCCACTAACCTGAGACCGAGAACTAGATGGTGCCTGGCTGTCACCACTGACCGATCTGATGGGGATCACAATAGAAGACACCAGATAGGGTAGAAGAAAAAGGTAGGACAAAATTTGAAGTCATTAAAAAGACCAGACTTACTGCTCTGACAGAGACTGGGGAAGCTCTTAGACACCTTTATAATTAGAACTGAAGCCACTCCTGGACATCACCTTTCAGCCACATAAAA